TGAGACTCTGTCTCAAAAAAGAAAAAAAAAAAATTATTTCAATCACTTTGGGGACACAAGTGGTTTTGGTTGCATGGATAAATTCTATAGTGATGGATTCTGAGATTTTAATACACCCATCACCCGAGTAGCGTCTGTTGTACCTAATGTGTAGCTTTTATCCCACACCCCCTCCTACCTTCCCGCTTCTGAATCTCCAGACCCCATCATATACTCTGTATGCCTTTGTGTACTCAGAGCTTAGCTCCCTCTTCTGTGAGAACATACATTTTTTGGTTTTCCCCTCCTGTGTTACTGCACTTAGGATAAGGATCTCCAGTTCTATCTAAGTTGCTGCAAAAGACAATATTTCATTCCTTTTTATGACTTGTGTAGTACTCCATGATGTATATGCGCCACATTTTCTCTCTCCACTCATTAGTCTATGGCCACTTAGGTTAGTTCCACATCTTTGCAGTTGTGAAGGGCTGCTGTAAACATACGTGCACAAATGTCTTTTTTTTTTTTTTTCCCCCAGAGAGAGTCTGGCTCTGTTTCCCAGGCTGGAGTGCAGTGGCTCAATCTCGGCTTACTGTCACCTCCACCTCCCGGGTTCAAGTAATTCCCCTGCCTCAGCCTCCTGAGTAGCTGGGATTACAAGCGTATGCCATCATACCGGGCTAATTTTTGTGTCTAATTTTTGTGGTTTTAGTAGAGACGGGGTTTCACCATGTTGGCCAGGCTAGTCTCGAACTCCTGACCTCAGGCGATCCGCCTGCCTCGATCTCTCAAAGTGCTGGGATTACAGGCGTGAGCCACCGCACCCGGAACCTCAGACTATCATCTAACACCTATTTCTCCTTCTGGTGTCTGACGTTCATAATTTCTCTCATAGGCCAATCTCTTACCCTCCCTCTGTAACACAGCCTCAAGAGTTTTTCCAGAGATCTAACCTGCATGTCTGTCATTAAAGGGGCCTGGGGTATGACGAGGAGCCCAGAACCTGTCCCCACAAAACCATTCCCCTCTTCATTCATGTTTGTTTTTTTTTTTTCTGAGACGGAGTCTCGCTCTGTCACCCAGGCTGGAGTGTAGTGGTGCGATCTCGGCTCACTCCAACTTCTGCCTCCCAGGTTCAAGCAATTCTCCTGCCTCAGCCTCCTGAGTAGCTGGCATTACAGGTGCCTGCCACCATGCCTGACTAATTTTTATATTTTTAGTAGAGGCGGGGTTTTATCACGTTGACCAGGATGGTCTTGAACTCCTGACCTCAGCTGATCCACCCGCCTCGACCTCTCAAGAGTGCTGGGATTACCATTCATGTTTCTTCTCCAGAGACCAAGGACAAGCCAGCACAGGATGAGTACAGCGTGCTTGTGGCCAGCATGTTGGAGCCAGCAGTGGTGTATCGGTAAGGGGGCCTGAGACACATGGGTATGGTCTAACCTTGTTTCTTTGCGCTGTGGTCTAACCTTGTCATTCTCCACAGTAAGTTCCTTTGGGTGGATTACCCAGAGCTGGACATGTAAAGATACTCGTGACCCAGGGGCGGGGGCTGTGAATATTGAAGTCTAGACTTGCAGGGAATATGTTGAGGTTGGGGGGTGGGAGCAGAGATGCCCCCTGGAGTGGATGTAGTAGGTGTGCTGGCAAATGGCTAATCACTGGCTATGCACAAGGAAAGCCCAGGTTTGTAGCATTTACCAGAGTTTCCAGAGTGTAAATACTTCCGCCACAGTGGCTTTCAAACCATGAACGTGATTACATGGGAACGTTTCCCAGTCAGCTCTCGGAAGCGACTATGGCCAGCTCTGGCACCCCTCTAGGGGTGGTGAAGGTGTCCGGCCAGGGCTAAGCCCTCTTTGGGGTTCCATGAAGGCAGCGTGGGTGTCTAGATTGAGGACACGTGTGTCTGAATCCCCAGATGGGACCCTGTGGCTTTCCATCTGGGAGTGAGGTGGTCCCGGAGGTGAAGGGCTTGAGTGCACAGGTTGACCCCTCGCTGGATCTATGAATATGTCCAAATCTGAGATGATGACGTCTAGGCTTCCGGAGGACCAGTGTGTCTAGGCCTGAGAAGGGAAGCAGTACCGGTGCCCAGCTCAGCGTCTGCCAAGGGTGCCGGGCACTGCAAGCTGACCCCAGTCTGTCTGCTGCATTTGGGACCCTCAGGGACCTGCTGCACCGGGGCCTTGAAGACCAGCTTCTCCTGCCCGGCAGTGACCAATTTGACAGCGTCCTCTGTGGCCTGGTCACCGACGTGGATTTGGATGGGCGGCCAGAAGTCCTGGTGGCCACCTACGGACAGGTGGGACCTGACGGTTGGAGCCACCACCCACCGGCCTCCCTCCACTGTGCTCCCCGTCTACCTGTGTGACCTCACTCTCCACCCCTGCAGGAACTGCTGTGTTATAAGTACCAGGGCCCAGAGTCGGGGCTCCCTGAGGCCCAGCATGGGTTCTGCCTGCTGTGGCAGCGGGGCTTCTCCAGTCCCCTGCTGGCCATGGCTCATGTGGACCTGACCGGGGACGGGCTGCAGGAGCTTGCCGTGGTCTCCCTGAAGGGCGTGCACATCCTGCAGGTAA